AAAAAAAAAAAAAAAAATACAATCATAATACCATATCACACCAAAAAAGTGTCTTTTAAATCTCTTAATCTATCAGCTAATATGCTCTTCTGTCCTCTGTGTTACATGCAAGGTAGAGAATCTGTCAGATTCAGGTTGATTTTGCTGCTGTTGTTGGTATTATTGCTATTGTTATTACCTATATCAGGTAAGTTATATCAACCACATGAATACTACTAAGTGGTATTGCCGTTGATGATGTGATCTTTTTCCAAACTGATAAACAACTCTTGGAAAAGGTCTGAACAAATCAATATACAATCTTCCCTCAATTTAAATAATACTTACCTCCTGGAAAATTTGGTATTTATTAAAACTGCAAAAATATTTCGTAGTCATATGAAACATGGAGCTAGGCTTTAGGCTCAGATAATTATAATCTATTTTCCACCTACAGGAATGTCTGAAAAGTCACGTGGTATGTGAGGAAAAAAAATTCATTGTCAAGTAGTATTGGATTATCTGCTGCATTGCTGAAAGTCTAGCATCTCAGGCTCCTGTCTGCTAAATGACACTAGCACCCTGCCCGAATCTTTATCAATGTCCTCTCACACTTATAAAATGTCCCCTTTGATTCACTTTGTCCCCTGTTGTAAACCACTAAATTAGTTTGAGCAGCAGCAAAAGAGGAAATTGGTTTTCATTGCATATATGCAATAATTTTGGGAAAGGAAATAAGAAAAATATCCTGTATGGGGAATGAATATTTAAACATTCACAAATTTAAAGCCTTCAAAAATTTTTCTCTGCTGACAGAATTTTATTTCTCTAAACCATGTTGGAAAATATGAATAGGCTCTCTGATAAAACAAATGAGGTCATGATGACTTCATACTAATATATGCAGTTCAAGTTGAGAAATTTTTAACAGCTGGGAAGCCATCCAGACTGGTACAGGTAGGGACACTGGGATAGTGGCATGGAATGATAAATCCATTTTTAATTCGTTTCTAAACATAAGTATATATTTGTAAATCTCCTGATGGTGTATTTTCATAATTGGCCCATAATGCTGATAAAGAATTGTGCTTTACACTCGCCTTATTGGGTAATATACGTCTTGTCTTTTTCTTTGGACGTATTAAAAGTTACTTTATTAATTGTCTTTTGTATTTAAATACTGTTCATCATTCCAGGATGGAAACAATTTTCCAATCTAGATGAGAAGATATTTTGTTATTATTGCTTAAAGCAGGAATTGTTTATTCATAGTACCTAGCCAGTTCCTGGTACATAGTAGATGCTCCTTAAGTATTTGTTGAATGAACTCATCCAGTAATCATTAACATTAATATATCTTATTACTCTGTAGAATCATGTACTTTCATATTTGATAATTTTATTCTCATACCATCATTATCATGAAACATTAAGTGTGGGTCTTTTATACAGAGTAGAAACTGAATTAAGTGATTTTTTTCTAAATCATGCTGCTGGCATAACTAGGAGAAGGATTTAAGTTTTCTGGCTTTGATTTTACTATTTCTACCAATAGGATTCTTTATGCATTAAAATTTTATGGTTTCTATTCCTGCTGCCTAACTGTTTCCATGTTTTCAAAGCATTTGTCAAAAGAAAGAAAGAAGGAAGGAAGGAAGTATCAATCTATGATTAATTCCCCTGATATTTACATACTGGCTTTGACGTTCAGAAATTCAAAATAAGGTATCAAATGTTTTGGTGGCAAGGTCTGTCTGGTAAGAGATATGGTTCTCCTAAAAGCAAGTTATATTATTTAATGTCTGCAAACTGCAAAGCAGGTACAACATCAACATGGTAACTGTTCAGAGACTGGAACTTTGTAACTATGGAGACATTACCTCATAGTTCTAAGGGGCAGTGTTGGCCAGATGTGAAAGTTGTAGTCACAAAGGTCTCTTTGCCAGGTTACTGTCCTGTCTCTTGAGCTGCTTCCAGTGACTGCTACACACCTTCACCGTGCTTTGTCCAATATCCTTAGCCAGTATCAGTATTGGCTATGTTGGTACTTACATATTTACAAGAGAATTCTGGTTCTGGCAGCAGCTTGGTAAAGAAATCATTAGATCTGGCAGGTGCTTGAAGGTAGTTGGATTAACAGGTAAGGTCTGTTTAAAAAGAAAATCTGCCTTGAATGTCAGCCGTATTCATTGCCTGATGTCATGATCTGTTTCCTAGGAAAGAAAAGAGACTTCTTTTGTAGCCAAGATGAAAGACACACAAGACATTCAGGAAGCTTCAAAGGCCCTGCAAAGTGAAGTCCACAAACAGGAAGATGAAGTGGAGAAACAAGAGCAGTAAGAACACATAATAGGGGGAGATGAGGATGAGGGTCTGAGTTTTAGAGAGATAATGATGGAGTGCTTGAAATCTTTTGTTTCAAACCATCTTATGAAATGTTAGAACTAGAATAGATTCCACAAATTTAATAAAAATAATGAACTATAGCATACAACTATTCGCCCAAACACTGTTTTATAAGGTTCTAGTCCTTGCATAATATAAAAGTTCATCTAGACAGATCTCCATCATATAAGACCTAATTAAGAGTCCAAAGTTCCCATTTAACATGGTAAGGCAATTTGCAGACAACGTCTTCAGAACTTCTTTGCTGACCTAGGGACAAAAAATTACCAGAATTTTGGTTTTGGAAACATCTGTGGGGATGTTTTATAAAATTACAACTCCCTATTTTTACTACTGCTACTAAATCATTAGTAGTAGTAGCATTAGCATTGGTTTTCCAATGTTTTTTAAAAAATAGATATTTATAGTATTGAGTATATATAATTTACAAAGTATTGAGTATACATAATTTAAAGCTATTGTTACTTTGGACCTAGATGTCCTGTGTTTACTATTCATTCCAAATACATCTTTTAAATAGTTGTTCTTAAAGGTCCTCTGAGAAATGATTGTCATTGGTATTACCAATGAAGTACCTCCGAAAGTAACACTGAAATGCGGGAATTGAGCTTTGGTAACTGCCCCTTGTTTAGTGCTAATCAATTACAGAGGGAGCAAAATACCAAGGAGTTTGGAAAATTCCTTATGCTAAAGGGAAAACTAACTAAGCATCAAGAAAAATCTCTCCAAAAAGAGTTGAATAGGTAGGCAAGTGGAGAGTTCAGATGGTGGGCTATATCACATGAGTTTGTTCCTGAAATATTTCAGCTCTTCCAAAGATACGTGCAGTCATCAGAAATTCCTTACTCGACTACAAAAATAAGAACATCCTGTGGCCCTGGGCCAATTTCTCTGACTGCAACATTTGCGAAGTCTTATTGTGAATCTTTTGTGGAATTAAATTTAGTTGGAAATGCTATTGTTTTACTGGAGGAAAAAAAAAAGGAGCTTATAAAATGAACATGCTGAAAAGATATAGCCAGTCTATAATGAAACCCAGATGTAAGGGATGTGAAAAGAGAAAAGTACTGTCCTTGCTTTTGCAGTCAGTGTCAGGGAGACAGCGTGTCATATAATCCTGTCTGGGTTTGAGCAGAGATGAAATATTTGTAATTTGATGATTTATTAATACCTTTATGATCTCCTTCCCACTACCTCCACAGTTAGACTCAGGGGTGTATCTTCATGGCTTAGAGCTTTTCTGACAAACCTGAGTGCTTGGGCAAATGTATAAGCTAACTGAGCACTGGGCCACCGATAATGCCATTTTCCAATAATGCCATTTTCAAAGCCAATGCCATTTAATTATTTTAAAAATTTGCCTGAGATGTCTGTACCTTCTGAGAGGTACATTTAGAGCAAGTGGGTTTGGATTACAAATCTCTCCAGATACAAGATTTCTAACAAGGGAACTTTCAAATTGTAGAACAAAATGATTGTTAATACCTCTTGGTAAACAAAGACATTGAGGGTCACATCAGCAAGATGGTGGACTAGGAAGCTCCGGACCCTCATTCTCCCACGGAGACTTAAAAACAACAAGAACAAAAACTAGAGACTGGATAAAATGACTTTATAAGAGCTGTGGAAAACAGATCAAAATGGAGATAATCCATGCAAGCAAAACACTTAGCTCCTGCTTATACTGGAGAGATATGTGGCCCCCAGAAAGGGGATGGTTGAACTGGCTATTTGTCCAGTGTTTCAGAGAGATAAAGGGTTTTGGTCTTCAGTACTCTGTTCACAATTTAGCAATAAACACACTTACACGGAGACACCCCCCTATGCACACGCATACACACAGGTGCACACACACAAGATTTGCTTTGAGGTCACTGGGAAGAGTCTCAATGTGACTCATAAAATGGACTGTCATAAGCCTTTTTATGATCCATCTCATGAGAGTATTGTTTAACTTGTAAGATAATTTTACTGTAGTATAGGGACCTTATTGTGCACTAAATGCTTTCATATTTATAAAAAAAGAATGGAAAATCTTTGTTCACAGTAAGATTCACTTACAACAATAGCACCAGAAAATTGTCTTTCTTCTCCCTCTTTTCTGCCATTCCCTCCAACACACACACACACACACACACAGAGTTTATATGAAGGCAAACATTAACTATAGAATGTTTATTAATACAGAAAAATTAGTTAAGCAGCAAGAGGAATTAAAGGAAACAGGTATAGGAAACAATGACATAGTAAACAGGTTATTAAGTATGAAATGTCCAATTTCCTTAAGTAATTTGACAGTTGATGTCTCTGACATTTCACTTTGACACTTCTTGTTTTATGTTTATTGTGTAGGTACATCCTCATTCTTTCGAACACATGGTTTGGCTTGTGATTATCATATTTTTTTAGAGCAATTTTTGTGAAACCATGGATAAGTCAAAAATTCATGTTATTTTTCAATATCAGTTCTGTCATGGAACCAATGCAGCATAGACAGCTCCAAATATCAATGAAGTGTTTGGGAAGGATGTGGCTAATGAATGCACAGTACATTGATGGTTTGAGAAGTTCTGTCCTGGTGATTTTAATCTTGAAATTGAGCCATGTGGGTGACTTGAGACCAAGGTGGATAATGATGGGCTAACAGCTGTAGTGGAAGCGAATCTATCTCAACCTATGCGTGAATTAGCAGCAACGTTTGATGTTACTATTCCAATAATATTGGACTACTTGAAACAAATGGGCAAGAATAAAGGAGCTGGATAGATGGGTACCACATGAATTAAACAAGCATCAGAAGAGAAATCGTCTCGAAAATCTCAAAGCTTGCCTTTCTTTGCTGTCACAACATAACGGCAAACCATTTCTATACCATATTGTTATGTGTGATGAAAAATGGATTCTTTTTGACAATTGCAAGTGTTCTGCACAATGGTTGGATAAAGATGAAGTGCCAAAACACAGTCCAAAACCGAATATTCACCAAAAAAAGCTAATGGTGTCTGTTTGGTGGTCCAGCACTGGTATTATCCACTATAGCTTCATGAAACCTGGTCAATCAATTACAACGGATATCTACTGCAACCAACTGGATGAAATGATGAGGATGCTTGTGATTAAGCAACCAAGATTGGTCAATAGAGATAGGCCAGTCCTCTTGCAAGACCACATGTCGCAAAAAACAACGCTGCTCAAACTACAGAAGCTGGACTTGGAAACTCTCTGTCATCGATTGTATTCACCAAACCTTGCACCACTGCCTACCACTTCTTCCAGGCTTTGGACCACTTCTTGCAAAGAAAAATATTCAATTCTCGACAAGCTGTGGAAAACGCCTTCCGCGATTTCATCACCCTCGCTCTTCAGGCTTCTTTGCTGCTGGCATAAGCAAGCTACCATTGAAATGGCAAAACTGTGTCGATTGTTTAGGCACATACTTTGATTAATTGTACTGCTTCTTGTTTGAGATATAATAAACTATATTTTTTATTTGAAATCAGACATTTCGTATTTAATTATTTAATATATTAATGTCTTTTTCGCTAATGGAAAGGGGAAATATGATATAATAAGTGATAAAAATGAGGTATAAATTGTTTATAAAGTCTCAACTTTGAGTGAAAAATACATTGAAAGGCCGGGCACGGTGGCTCACGCCTGTAATCCTAGCACTCTGGAAGGCCGAGGCGGGCGGATCGTTTGAGCTCAGGAGTTCGAGACCAGCCTGAGCAAGAGCAAGACCCTGTCTCTAAATTTAAAAAAAAAAGAAAAATACATTGAAAAACCTGGAAGGAGATGGTAAAGTCTCTGGCTGGTGACATTATAATGATTATTTTCTTTTTTTTA